TCATGAGACATTCATTGACATGATTTCGTCAGTGGCTTCAGATGTCTAGTCCAGAAATATCAAAACTTCATCTTGAATAAAAATATGCCACTTGAAAGACTTTTTCTACTACTATATTCAAAGATACCTCTGGTAGTCTCTAATGCATGATCTAACAACAGCATTGGCTTTTTTATTTTTCGAAGATACCTTTGTCAATCTCTAAAACCGCCCGACTTATATTAAGCTCTTTGTTGACATATGAGGACTCTTCCTTTTTTTAATCTATGATCAACCTCATCATTGGTTGCATATATCAGTTCTCAACGCATTAGTAATCTGTTTTCCCCTTTTTGTCTTTTGTGTTTGTATTTAGTGCATTTGTGCTTTCATTTCGTGTTTCAGTAGTACTTATCTACATACATCTGATTTGCTAGGCGTTGCACCAACGTTTTCTAAATGTAAAAATGAAGTGCTTAAACCAATTTGAGTTGTGAGTAATATAAATTTCTTGTGCAGGCCCGCGGATATCGCTTATGTCTATTCTGGATATGCTCCTCTTAGCATTCGTCTTATCCAACAAGCTATTCACTCTGGATGGTTAGTATATTCTTGCATTCTACTAGCCAAAACTTTGGCTTTCCTAAATAAATGTATAACCACGACGAAAAAAAGTCTAGCATTCTGTTCAAATTAACGGAACAAATAAAAACTAAGCATATATATATATCAGAACTTGAGAGAATTTTTATTAATCCATATATAAATGTTGAAAGAATGGTGTTGTTTTTTGATGACTCAAATTTACCTTACAGGCGTCCTATCGAAGACATTTTGAAACTGTTGCCAGGACCGCATCTGGAAACTAAAAGAGTCAGTACTCTTGCTTTACCCAATTTAGAAAGATTAATAAAAGGCTTCCATTTTTGTTCTGCTATTGTATTTTTTCTTGCCGACAAAATTTTGCTTACAAATATATCACGATGTACCATCTCTGTGCAGAGTGGATTCCCAAGTAGTCCATCAGTTGATTCATTGCATGGAGCTTCAAATGGGCAAGTTTCTCATTAACAATTAGCTTGCTAATGCGAAAGTAGTTTCTTCAAAGCATCCTAAAATGTTTAGACATCATTACAGGGTTGCTGATGGAAGACGCTCAATTGTTCTTGTTGTCTTCATTGGAGGTGTAACTTTTGCTGAAATCTCTGCTCTAAGGTTTCTCGCCTCTAAGGTATATATATGCAAACTTAGAGAGTTTATTATCATAGACAACTCTTTTTCTCTGCTTTACTTTTGCTGAATCCTATTTCGATCACTTTCTTTGTAGGAAGGAATGGCTTATGATTTGGTTATTGCCACAACAAAAATCGTCAATGGCGCGACATTGATAGAAACATTCATGGAAAAACTGGGCTGATCCGTAACAGAGCCCGTATGTTTCATCTTTTCTCTCAGAGTGTGCTTGTGCGTGTTTATTTATTTATTTATTTTTTGTATGTTGTCTTCTTCTGGATCATTTTGGCTGCAGAGAGAACTGGGATTCGAATGTTTGTAGTGTATTTCAGCATTTTGTTGTTTAATTGGTGAGATACAGCGTGATCTTCTTATAAACAAATTCATTAATGTTTTCTTGATGCATTGCAATTCAACTTCTGCGAATGAACCAAACACAAACTCAATATGGCCCACAAATGTTTCTTTGCGTTTACACTACATGTAATTTACAAATGATGATCATAACAGTAAACAGAAAACAGTATATTATAATTTTAAATTTATTGTATACACAACACATAAAAATATTACAGAAGATTCTTTAGTCAGAGTCAATCCAAAAGTTTCCTATACATATATATAATCTACACTGAAACAAGTAAGATTCCACAACAGCGAGGATTAATCATGGAACAGTAGATAGTACAGCACCTTCGTTTTGCTGAATGAGCTCCAACAAGCTCCCAGCTTTCCTCTTTGCTCTATCAGTCCCATTTTCAGTAAGTTCCTTCAAGGCAATATCTGCACCAACCTCTCTTGCTACATTCAACCTCTCCACATTCCCAATACATAGATACCAAAGTATTGCTGCAGCGTTTTCCCGGTTCCTCGGTGACCCTGTCCTGATAATCTCAACCAAAACCGGGATCGAATCTGCTTCAGCTATTGCTGTTTTCCCTTCTTGGTTTGTCGAAAGAATTGCCAGAATCGCCAAAGCCTCATCCACCATTCCACCACCTGCATCTTTCAGTAATCTTGTCAAAGGATCAACGATGCCACCTTTAACTGCCCTTGATTTATTTCCTTGGTATATGCATAGGTTGAAAATGGCTGTTGCTGCGTCTTTTTTCCCTCTTCGAGTCCCTTCCTCAAGCAAGCTTATAAGGGCTTGGATAGCTCCAGCAGCACCTATTGCGACTTTGTTTTCATCTACAACAGATAAACTGAAAAGGGTCGCAGCTGCGTTCTCTCTAGCCTCCATGCTTCCGTTTTTTAGCACCTCCACTATATCTGTTATCGCTCCTGCATCAACAATGGCTCCTTTGTTACATTCATTTATGGAAAGATTGAGAAGAGCCGTCACAGAATGCTCTTGAGTCCGAGGATCTGGTGAGGATAGAAGCTCTACGAGGAGTGGTATGGCTCCAGCTTCAGCGATACAAACTCTGTTATCTGCATTCCTCTTGGCTAGTAACCGTAATTCTCCAGCTGCAGCTCTTTGTTGTTCCATACTACCGTTGGCCAACTTCTCTAACAATGAAAGGACAAATGCTCGATCACAATCTGAAGAGCTGCTTCCTCCTGGTTTTGTGGTTCTGTACCTCCCTTGATTTTGCGGAAGCTCAATACCGTTGCTCTCACACCACAGACCAATGAGACTCTTTAACACGTAATTAGGGGTTAATCCAGAATGCAATAGTGTCTCCTGAGATTTCGGACAGGTTTTATGACCAGCATCGAGCCACTTCTGGATGGATGATCTTTCATATGTCTGCAAGATCCAAACAAATCAGCTTAAACAACAGATACACAAGTGTAATCAACAAACTCACTACAATGCACAAGGAACTTGAAAAAGCAGACCTGTCCAGTGGAGACGATGACAGGATCTTTCATCAGTTCAAGTGATATCGGACACCGAAAATACTCTGGTATAACAGGAGAACGATGTCTCGAAATGATTTTGTTGCCACTGGATGTACCGGGTTCTGATCGTTCCATTGTTGCACAATCTACCAGCTTTTTAAGAATCGAGGACATCCTCTCGAAGCAGTCATCAGGATCCCCGTCATATGAAAGAAAATACTCATGTATTGCATGTGATTCTTTCTTCAGCTCATCAATGGTGCTGAGTTGGAGTTCTTGTGACAGTCTCTTGAGGACTTTAGGGTCAGGATCCATAACATTCTCTACAATTGCTAGATCATGGCTAAGCTGCTGATCAGAGTCATCTCGTCTTTCTTTTGCTCTCTTGAACTGAAAATGCAGAAGCTGTACCTGATAATTTAGAGAGCATATCATTAGAATTCAGATTTGATAAACAAAACAAAAACTCCCGTCCAAATTTTCTACAATTTTATTTAGCAAATTCTTGTGTTCAAATCGAGATGAACCAATGCCTTGAGAAGTACCTGTTCTCTGACCTCCTCTGATACTTCGAACGTATCATAAGGAGTCTGACTTAACGCTGCCTCTATCTCCGCCGTCACGACGTGGAGCTTCTGCACAACAGAATCCCTATGGAAAATCTGAGAGCAGAGAGAAGACAAACAATACACGAAAAAATTCTCAACTTGTTGATTTCAGGTGAGTTAATAAAGACGATAATGAGCTCACACAGAGAGAACATAATGCACAAACAACAAAACATATTTAAAATGGAGAAGATGAAAGTAAATAAGAGGGAATGCTTTGAAACCAAGATGGGACATAAACAAAACAGTAGGATCGCCGAGACATCAAAATATAAACTTCTTTCCCATATAATCTAGAAATGAGATAGCTTGTGACTTTTATCTAGTAATGGCAGACTCAATTCGATCTCAGGTCATCTCAAAACAAGAAAAAAAAATATATATTCTGAGAAACAAATGTATACAGCAAAACCCTAAACACCAGAATCTTAAAACCCTTGAATAGAAAACAGAGGAAATTTGCTCACTTTGCCCAGCTACCAATGACAATAAGAAAAAAAAAAAAGTAACCTGAAAAAGTTTGCTTCCTCCATTGACCGATCGAAAAAGCTCAAGACTTGAATCAAGAGCGATTCTCAAAACCTCGAGACCTGAAATCTGTTCCTCTGTCAATTCAACATTGAGGTCAATCAATTCCTCGAAGAAAGGGCAGAGAAGCGTGATCCTACGAACAAGATCGCCTTGGATCTTCCCGAAGAAACCTTTAGCAGAGGAAAACCCAGAAATTTCCTTGACGGAGTCAACGAGTCGACTAATCAGCTTCTCGTGGGAACAATTCGATAATTCCATCCTTAGATTTTGCCCGCCAGATGAAAGGCTTCAAGGGTTTTAACAAGAGAAACGAAGAAGAAGAAGAAGAAGAAGAAAAATGCTATGGAGCCACTAAGCCTAATTAATAAACTAATACATAGACAACAATAGAACCATTAAGTCTCTCTCACCAACGTGACAATAAGCACCAACGTCTGAAAAAAGCCACCTTTTGTCCATTTTCAAACCAAATCATATTTTAAGCATCAAATTGTTGTTTGTTTGCTGTTCTATTAGTTTTTGAAACAATCACAAAGTCAAAACCAGTTGCCAGGAGCTCAGAGTTATAATGAATGCACACGACAAAATCCGAGGAACATGTAATGTGAAGGAGAGTTCGAGTAGTGAATATTCTTCTACCTAATATTAGCCATAGTCTTCTCTGAAATGGTCAAATTATTTTTTCTTAACTAGATTCGATTTTGTAGAGTAGATATGCGACGATCTTTCTCACAGCTAGATTTTGATGAAACGGTCCCCATCTTTGCTTAATTTCAATTTCCAGGTTCTCATACACTCCCCAGTTTCAACCTCAAATGAAGATTATACAACAACACACTTAACAGAGATAAATTCCGTTCAGACATATTACATTGAAAGTATGAAAAGATTAGTAGTCCGGGAAAGGGTTTTTGCTTCCCCTGAAGATGAACCAACACACCAATCATGACGACGAAGGAGAAGGACGAGGTAGCCTCTTGCCTATTTCCTATCAGACAAAAAAATGTAACAAGTTAAACCCCTATATACATCATCTCTACTTTAAATCAATTCTTCTTTCTACATCCGAAACTATATTACTCTTATCCTACTCAGTTCTCCACAGATTCAATGAATCTTCCAAGTTGCAATTATATTATTTGGAATCCCGTAAGTAGCTAGAAAAAAAAAAGTAACTAATTCAGCAGCCAAAAATCTCACTGCTTATCAAATTTTCCATTCTCCAAATCCAAAGTAGTGAAAGAAAACATATCACAAGCGCTCAATAACTGCAGATGACAAGTCAATCGATAATATAACATAGAGGCGATAAAGAAATGCACACCTCAAACAGTTGATTTATGTTATCTGCTGTCTTGGCTGACGTCTCAATAAAGAACATGCCGTTCTTCTCTGCAAGCTCCATACCATCCTGTTAAGAAATTGAAAATGTGATACACGCTGAAGAAGCAAGAACAGTGCAAGTGAGAACCAAATGTTCTACGGAATCTAGTTGAAGAAGTTTATACAAACTCACCTCGGTTGGTACTTCTCTTTTTTCATGTAGATCAGCTTTGTTACCAACCAAAGCCATTACAATATCTGGGCTGCCATGCTTTTGCAGTTCCTGTTAGATTTAAAGGGCAGGGTGTACAACAACATCACTAGATGATATCGAGGCAGTGTGCAAATTAATGGCACAAATATGTCAGAAAGTTCGCAAGTTGTTCAACAATCACATTACGGTGTCCTAGTATTATATATGTTTTGAGTAACAAAAATGGGTTATGTTTGGATACTTAGATTCATCTGATGACTTTGCTAACATAGTCAAGTGACTTGCCATCCTTTATGACAGCCACTTTTTTGTATTTCTGAATATAGCAGAAAATCATGGTGTTTTGTTCCTTTTGCACTGTATACAGTTGGGTACAATTTAGATGGTAAAGTTGCTATACTCTTCTATGGTTATATATGAATTCCTGCAAGCCAACGTTTCAGTCAATTAAACCATATGGATCCAAGGAAATCAATTGTTTTATACTCTGCTATGGTTATATAGGAGTTTCTGCAAGCCAATTTTCAGTCATATAGTTCAGAAGCTGTTGCATGAATCCCCAAAACGTTTAGGAAATGGAACCCTTTGAGCCACTTGAAAACATACCTTAACCCAATACTGAGCTTTCTTGAACGATTCAGGGCTTGTTATATCATACACAATAACAGCAACTCCAGCTCCACGGTAGTATAGTGGCGCAAGAGCAGAATACCTAAAAAATGGGGCAAATACAGGTTAATCCCCAACGAGCAAGCAAGCCGTTTTTTTTAATAAACTAAGCAACACCAAACTACATGGAGGGCTTCACACCTCTCCTGCCCTGCTGTATCCCATATTTCAAACTTCACTGTGGTAGAGTCTTGCAAGGCTATAGTTTGGGACAAGAATGAAGCTCCAACAGTTACCTGATACAGATAACTAATACTGTTGAGATTCAATGGTAGATGAAAACTCTAATACCCATTCACATGCCACATACGATATTAGAGCCACGATGTCCTAAGAAAAGTGCCAGATGGCCACAAAAGGGGGCTAGATAATAAGGTTTTACTTACCTTTGATGTTGCGTCAAACTGACCACGGACAAATCGAAGGACGATACAGCTTTTACCCACACCAGAATCTCCTAATAGAACTAACTGCAATTAAAGTGAATCCAAAAGTTAGCAGTCTATCTTGCATAAAGTTGAGACCAACTATACTACACGGGAAAAATACTGCTGAGCAACAAGTAGATAGGTGAAAGAAAAGGAATCCTCTCCTATACAGTGACAACGTAGCTCCAAAAGATTGTGAAATACAGTTATTCGCTTATACTTAGCTATGGAAAGAAGATATTTGAGGGTTTAGTACCAACATTCCAGTCCACCATTCTATAAAGGGTGCATTTTTAGTCCTTCGACTTTTAACAGAAAAACTCCCGAGCTCCACTAAAAGCTTCACTAGGTTTATCACATCTTAGAACATTCGTGGTTTAAGACCCCATCATTAATACATCCGACCTAAATTATATTTTTCAGAAATGGAACAATCAAATATAAAGCAAGACCATAGATCGTAAAAGCATGAACTTTTTACGCTATTAAAATATTCCACTTAATTACCTTCACAAGTTTGTTATTTTTTTTTTCGTTGATAAATCTCAGGAATCAGTCTAGCAACAAAGCGGTCTCAAAGAGATGAACATTCTTAAAAAAGGAGCAAAAAGAAAAACACAAAAACGCACCTTCACGCGTAAATTTTTCGCATCTGCAGGAACTGCATTCTCTGAACTGTTAAGACCATTTAACGCTCCAGAGTTCCTGTCTGAAACACAAAACAGGATACATAAATCTACAATATGCAATAAAAAACGTTTTGGATTCACCAATTTCTTCACACGGAAACCCTAAATAACGCAAATGATCATCATAACCCCCAATTTCGAGAAGCTAATAATTCAACACCGATGATTTCGCCTTTTCTGAAATTGGTTATTGAAATCTCTCGAGGGTCTTGCAAATAAGAAGTTCTCACTTATAATCGAACGCCAAGAATATATTCAACAAAATAGAGAAAGAAAAGAAAAAACTTGCCTGGAAGAGAAGCAGCACATCCCATAGCTTACCCCTAAGATAGAGAATTGATGAGATTATAGAAATTACAGCTGAGAGATCGTATTAAAGTTTGGGCGTTGAATACAGCGACTCGAAGGAAGAAGAAGAAGAAGAAGAAGAAGAAGAAGATCGCCAACGATTATCGAGTTTTACAGTATTTTAAAAGCTCTTGCCGTAACCAATTTCCAAGTTAAACATCAGGAAGTTGACCCGGACAGAGGAGGCTAACCGGAGTATAACCGGTTTTATGATTGGGTTAGTCTTTGTGTGGCAATAAAAAATGGTTGAGTATTTCTCTTATAAAGCCACCTAAGCCTAAATATATTCGCAAGAAAACGCTTAAATGAAACAGTACTGCTAAGATTACCTCTCTAAACCATACATAAGTTCATAAAAATTTACTTTTTTTTCTTTCTTTCATATATGATCTATGTAACAGTACTGCTTATGTATTATACAATCACAGTAATACAAACACAATAAATTAAGGAATACATACATGGGTTATTCAAGAAATAACCCAAGCATAGAGAGATAAAACAAATAGGTAGAATATCACAAATTTGCATAGGGCCTTCATTACTTTATGGCTTAGGAATGGCTTTATCTGCTGTAGAACAAAGTGTTGAACCTAAAGCATGGTTGTTAATGTAGCGGCTAGGAGCTGAGCTGAAGCGAAATCCCTTTGGCAGACAATCATTCATTGCTCCACCGTGAAATGTGCCTTGTTCGCTACCGCTTGTGTAAACTGTATTCGTTTGGCCAGGCTTATTGGATTCCATTAAGGGCCTTGATGCATTGACAAAGTTTGTCTGGGAGAAAAGAAATATAGAGAGCAATACGATGAAGGAAATGTAACTCGGCATTTATTGATTTAAGCTATCAACAACCTTGGCTCTCTGTAATGTCTTGTATTCTGATTTCTTAAGGATTAAAAGGGGAGGTCTATGTATATATAGAGGTCTATTTTGTGTGTGTGTGTGAGTGTTTGTATTGACCAAGATACGTATGTGTGTATCCTTGCGTGGTCGACGTTGAAATAGAACAACTCACCTCGAACACTTTTTTTTTGTCAATGCTCGTGTTTCTTATAACTCCCCAAACCTTCTCCAAACTCTGATTTTCCAAGTTAAATTTCCCCGTCAATATCCAATTTTTTTTCCAACTTATTCGATTCGTAAATGAAAAAATGTCTCAAAAAAAAAAATGAAAGTACATTCAAAGTTGGCAAAAATAATTATGCATTAAAAAAACTGAAATTACCTATGGATTTTTGTGCCAAAAAAACATAAGGTAACTCAAACTTAAATTTTTAAAAATTACTTTTGTAGAGATGTCTATTTATATATATTTTTCTCCAACAATATTTTTATATATATGTATTTTGGGATTATCTTATGGGTACACAATTACGATAAAAAAAATTATTGTTATATATCGTTTTTTTTTGTCAACATATATCGTATAATAATAAAGATCTAAGAACATGTTTATCAAAGAAATCTATTAAAATTTCTTGATAATTATTATATTAATAAAGTTAAGAGAATAAAAATAAAAAAAAACCATCAAAACCCAAAAGTAACCTCTATCTAATAAGAAGGCGTCACATCAGCACGTCAGCCACAAGGATCGCTCCTTCCAATCCTTATATAGGAATCGATCCTTCTCATTTAATCTACTTTTTTGATTAAAATTGATTTTTTTATTAGAAAAAACCTATTTCAATTTCTTTGATAATCATGGTCTAATACCATTAAAATAGCGAGGATATAAACTGAAAAAAAATTATTTATGTCCGACGTGGATAATGTAACGACGGATCAAGAAATTGGAAGAGTACGTGGGAGAATCTAATTGTAACCTAATTCGATCCTAAAGGCCGATCTAAAAGTTTGAGGACGAAGGAACAGTTGACACGTGTTACAACAATGCTATTAATTAGATCTTCTCTCTGGTACTACAACTACATAATCTGATATCTAACCATGTAAACCAATCAGAGAACACCATGTGGATGTCTGATGACACGTCAAAGATTGTAATCTCATGTCTAATGTTGGTTCGTATACCGGTTACATGACTGAGTTGTCCTTAATGCCACGTCTCCCAGTTCCTCGCTTACAAGCATTTTGATCGTATGCTTTTGAGATATTTTGTATCGAGAAAAAAAAAACTTGAGAAAAAATCTATGTCAAATTTGCATCCAAACTATTAAAACTTCTTAACCTTAAATCAAACTTCATCGGTTGTTTTCACTGGTCAAAATCTTCATAATAATAATTAAAGAATGGTGTAACCAAATCTAGTCTACAGTATACAATTTGGGAAAAGAAGAGTTTACATAGGACTTGCACGGTGATTGTATGATATGATATAATGGTATATGTGGCGTAGATAATGTTGCTGAACCCAATTTTCTTAGAGGGAGTGTCATTACCAGCACAGAGCTTCAAGAGCCAAACATTATGGTTGCAATCTCTTAATTTTGTGAGACTCAAACGCTCTTAACATTATGTTATATAAACTTCATTCTACGAAATTTTGGCTTTGTATTCATTTTATGGATTATCAGACTAAAAGAAGCATTCCATTTTTTTTGAAAATCTTGAGGATTTTTCCATAATGGATTATTACAAAGTACCAAAAACACAATTGAGCTAGATCCTTAAACTCACTAAGAATTTCTTACGTTTAATTGTTCGACTAATAGAGAAACCTGTTCGTAAGATTCATATTGTCCACATAGCCCAACTTCCCGACTTTCCGAATATATATTAATTTAAAGTTGACTTAATATATGAATCTTCTCTTTTACTGGATTCGTTGGTCGAACACTATTCTTGACAATTTTTCTTCGAGGTCTTCTAATTTCTGAATATATTCCATGCTTATTTAATTCTGACTTGAGAATCAAAAAATATTTGAATGAAACGACGTTAGTGATCAAGATATTAGTTGTAATTAATATGGTAGTTTGAAATATGAGAGAGGTGTTTGTTCCTAGCTAGTAAAGAGCCGAATGAAAAGAAAATTTGCGCTCGAATGAGATTACATCGATTTCAATAGAAAGGACAAAGGAGGTAATGGGTCAGGTCCTTTAGTTGAGCTGAAATATGATCTATACTATATTAGATATCTGAACAAATCTTTTCGGTGAGACTAAGGTCTACGTACTTACGACCTGAACCCGTTAAGTGTTATTTTATTTACTTATAAGCTTTACTTACGAATAATCAGACAGTACTACAATATAAAACTTTATAATAATACAAAAAATAATTAGTGATGGGTGTTTCATGTTTGCATGTGTCAAGCTTCTTATATCATCTATTGCACAGATAAACATGAACCATCATAAATCATCATAGATTCATAATGCATAAGTGTGAAATAATCCCAAACAACTAAGCACGTGCTAAATCTACTTGGAAAATAATTGAAAACAAGTATAAGAAATAAGAAAGCATGTGAGCTAGGATGAAAACATTTATATAGCTGGAGGCGGCGAATAAAAAGAGATTTAATGTGGGCATGTTCGTTTGTAACTGATAGCAAATATGTACAAGTTCTTGAGTTTTGGCTTCGAGATACGGTTGAATCATTGCCGATAAGAAATTTCCAAATTATCATAAAACAGATCCACACACCATGTGGACGTGGTTCTACCCTTGCCAATGGCCTAATATGGTTTTCTCACAATTCTTTTGATGTTTTTTTTATTAGAATATAAAAGACCTAGAATACAAATATCTAAATCTTATCTATCTATCTATATATATATATATATGTATATATAATTCTCATTATAATTTATGTCTTTTTCAGATTTATGAAATTTTACTATTAATTTGTGTGTATCTTATCTTATAAATTAATTTTCTTAGTATAAATATCTCTAGTGACAAAGAAATAAAATTTAATGTTTCTTATAAAACTAATAAGATTAATTTATGTCTTTTCAGATTTATGAACTTACAAGTTACAACATGTAGTAAGTTAAAAATAGAAAGAGTGCTCAATAAAGAAAATGTTTTTTTCATATAAATATATTTTATCTTTATTCAAGAAAATAAATTTAAGCGAATTTGAATTTATCAAAAAAAAATTATGATGAAACCTTTATTTAGTTATTCTTTTCTGTCAACAATTGATTTATTTAAATATTCTTTTGACAGATAAGCTGTCTTGGAGGGAATTTAGTAGTGTTATTTATTACCATTTCTACAATTTTATATACAGAATAAAATGAAAAAGCCAGTATATCTTTTTGTGAAATTTTACATTCACAGATTAAAATTAATAATCTCAATTGTTTTAAGATATTCAGTGAGTTATAAAAGGATAATGAGTGGATAATTGTGACTATAGTTACAACCTTAACTTAACCATAGTTAAATCAGATATACTATATGAATGACCCACATTTTAACGGCTCTTTACTCGTGTAGTTGCCCTCGACCGGTTTTCGTTTGCCCTTTCACTCGCCTAGACTCCTACTTTCTGAATCAAATATTTTGTCTTTTGGTAATTTAAAGATTCCATTGAAATCTAAATTAGCTTTCATATCGGATAAGAGTTGTGAGAGTATGAATCACTCAGCTTCTGACCAAAGTCTCTACCTTGAGAGCGAGGAAGAAGAGGACGAGAGAAAGAACTTGTCCGAAGAAGAAGATGATGGATCTGTTTCTGATACTTCTGATGCTTACAATCAAAACCATCATCAGTCCAAAGCTAGCTCATACTCAACGGCATGGCCAAAGAGTTACAGGTATCTATAATATTTATATATCATCATCTTCATTCTCTAATAATTTTCAACATTTTGATCATCATATTGGATCCTAACCATTTGTGTTACTTTGTTATAATGTTTTAGGCAATCAATTGATCTGTATGGAAGTCTACCATCTCCCAGTCCGGGATTTCTTGGTAATTCTTCAATGTCAAGATTCGGAAGCTCTTTCATGTCCTTAACAAGAAGACACACTCCAGAATCATTACCTGCTGTAACAAAACCTCTGCTAGTAGATGAAGAAGCACCGAAGCGTAAACAACGTAGCTCTCATTCTCTGCTTCCTTCTAAAGCCTCATCCATGGTGTCTCATGAAATGGCAATCTCCAACGATAGCTCATTTGGACAAGCTGTTCTTAATGGTGAGTTTCATTAAATAAATAAAAAAGTACTTGGTAATGTTAATGGTTAACTAAGACTTCTTTTAGTTATAATATATGAGTAAAGACACACACACACACACATACACATATAACGCATGTACAGGAGTGAATGTTCTATGTGGGGTTGGAATATTGTCAACACCATATGCTGTCAAGGAAGGAGGATGGTTGGGGCTTCTCATTCTCTTTGCATTTGGCATTCTTTGTTTCTACACTGGTTTGCTTTTGCGTTACTGCCTCGATAGCCACCCCGACCTCCAGACCTATCCCGATATTGGCCATGCCGCTTTTGGTACCACCGGCCGCATTCTTGTCTCCGTAAGTACTACAGTTTATCCCTAAATTTACTATGAGACTCATCTTCTAATCTACATTGTAAAATTTGATGTTTATTAGATATCCAGTTATGTCTTATGTTATATTTCTATTCCTCTATTTTTTTTTTTTTTTTTTTTTTGCAGATAATACTCTATCTGGAGCTATATGTAAGTACAACTTGCAATTAATCCTCCAATAGTTTACTTTATTTCATATAAATAAAATACAAAATACATTTTGTTAATTCAAGATAAGTACCTAAAATGAATCTCAAGTCATAATAAGGGACCACATGTGGAGTAGTACAAAACTTCCCCGGGCCTTTTTGTTTCATAGTTGAAATATTTAGTTTTAGGTATATTAGTTGCCCCCAATAAAAAAGTATATTATATAGTGTTGAAATCATCAACGCCACATATACTGAAGTGCTGCTGCAAATAATGTTGAAATAATCAACACCACATACACTGATCAAGAGTATGCTACTACATTTAGGACAACAAGATTCTACAAATTATCTTAGATGTATTTTGAATGTTCTTTTAATATGATTACAAAATTTGATAGTCTTCTATATAATTATCTCTCTTATAGGCTATGAGTGTTGAATACATAATTTTGGAAAGTGACAATCTATCATCATTATTTCCAAATGCTGCTCTAAGCATTGGAGGGTTTCACTTGGATGCGCCTCATCTATTTGCTCTGCTTACCACCCTCGCTGTTCTCCCCACCGTGTGGCTTCGAGATCTCAGTATATTAAGTTACATTTCAGGTATAACCATCTAAAGATGATTCTTTGGATCCTTCAAGTCAGAGCCTTAACATTTTAGGAATGAACATTCGAGTTTTCACTTCGGCTCCATTCAGTTGTCTTTTAGCATATTCATACCAAACTATAACCGAATTTTGTTTGGTTTGATTCGATTCAGTTTGAAAATTTGGATTTATTTGGTTTTTGATCTTCGGTTTATTCAGTTTACAATGGGATGGTTGGTTCGGTTAGAACTAATCATATCCTTAATTTTGCAGCTGGAGGGGTGATTGCATCAGTTTTAGTGGTTATGTGCTTGTTTTGGATTGGATTGGTTGATGAAGTTGGAATTCACAGCAAGGGAACTCCTCTAAACCTAGCAACATTACCGGTTTCTGTAGGACTCTATGGATATTGTTACTCAGGACATGGTGTTTTCCCAAATATTTATACTTCTATGGCCAAACCTTCTCAGTTCCCTGCGGTTCTCTTGACTTGGTAAAATCTTATAAAGACATTACAAAAGTTTATTTGGAAACTCTACTCTCTTTTTTTATCTTCTGAAGTGATAGATGTTTTTTTTTTTTTTTTTTTGCAGTTTTGGAATATGTACTTTGATGTATGCGGGTGTCGCTGTTATGGGATATAGCATGTTTGGAGAATCAATAGAATCACAGTTTACTCTTAATCTGCCTCAAAATTTGGTTGCTTCTAAGATTGCTTTGTGGACCACAGTAAGTTTTTTTTTTTGTTTTTTTTTTCATCTTTCCTATGCTTATTTCTGGTTATTACATGAAAAATGGGGATGATTCTCATGATAATGCTCTAGATATGCAAGCTTGATGAGGTTTATTTGTAAGTTTTAACTCGCTCTGCGGCTCTGCCTATCGTTGACTTTGTAATATGTCAAAAGATTTTTTTTTTTTAAATGTTGCACAACACAAGACCATAACATTTACTTATGTATTGACGTTTCTTTTAACCTTTTTGCAGGTAGTCAATCCATTTACCAAATATCCTTTTCCAAGAGATTTGTCAGAAATTTTTAACCAATTTCTATAATTTCCACGAACTGAAAAATTGTGTAGCCTTAACAGAAAAAAATCACATATGCTTTGACATTATCTCCGGTCGCAATGAGTCTTGAGGAGTTGATACCATCAAACCATGGCAAGTCACGTTTCTATGCGATCGCCATTAGAAGCGCATTGGCCTTCTCTACTCTTCTCGTTGGTCTTGCAATTCCCTTCTTCGGTAAGCACGCTTGAAAAAAAATATTATATGTATATTCTATAGTTATTGACATTCAGAATTTTTGCAGGCCTTGTCATGTCATTGATTGGATCATTCTTGACCATGCTCATTGTAAGTTACATATAGTTTCTGGCTATTGCAAGCAAATTTCTATTTTTGCATTTCATATGAATTGTGTGCTTCTGGAAACAGACATTGATACTACCGCCCGCTTGTTTCTTGAGCATCTTAAGGACAAAAGTAACCCCTACACAGGTATGCCTTGCTCACTTCTGATAACCGAACCAAATTGAACCTCAAATCAATATTAAAACCCAAACGGGAAAAACAAAAGTCGGCACAAAGTTGGTATACATCTCTGCAGTTAATCCGGAAAAAAAATGAAAAACCAAATGTGCACCACTCTTAACCTCTGATGTCTATTAGTAGCTAATATGCATTATCCTCTCTTGACAATCTTTGTGGTGGTGTGTTTGTAGGTGACGATCTGTATCTTAATTATCACAGTAGGAGCAGTTTGTTCAGCTATTGGCACATATTCAGCTCTTTCAAAGATCATTGAGAAGTTGTACACCTAAAAATGATCACTTTCTTTACCAAAATAAATATAATAATAACGATTATTTTACCCATTTTCTTTAAGTTGATTGAGAAATTAGCTAATTGGGAATACACACTATCACCTTCTTTAACTTATTCTCCATCTTCATCTTTTTCTCAGTTTGTGAACTTTAATTTGATGGTTATATCCAGAACCAACTTAGTTATTGCTAAGGCGTTTATGAACTGGTTCTGACCAAAACTACAATTCTCAACCAAGACCAATGTGCCAATCTGAGTAGAATAACAAGTTCAAATCCTAGTGGTTACAATAGCAAAATCAAAGAAGAGCTTGCTCTATTCATTGGACATCTTTCCTCCAGCTAAATCTTCAACTGTAAGGTTAAGAGAATCCATGGAACCTTTCTTGAACTCTTCCCCGCGAGCAGCCAGGAAATTCTCCACGCTTCCCGGTTCTCCAAACCAACCAAGATGGTCTGCAATCAAATGTAGATTATCACACCCTTCACATCGTACCACCACAACGCCCTTCTCATATGATTCTCGGCTCGCCGTCTTCATAGATCTCGTCTCACAGACCTTGCAAGTAAAGACAATCATGAAGTCATGCCTCGGGTTTATTTTCAACTGGGACTTGTATTTCACAATCAGTTCTTCAGAGGCCGTTGCAGGGGAGGGAACTTTGGCCAGTTCAGCGGCGGATTGTGAAGAGTTGCAGCCATTGGTTAATGAAGCTGCACTAGCCTCACGGGTTACACAAAATTGCCTCTGAAATAATCCAACATATGCATAATCTCTGCTGAAGAGTGACTTTGATTGCGGAAACTTACCTGCTGAGGTAATTTTCAAAAATGAAAACTGTGAAAAAACTCATTAAATGTTTGATGATACATTGCATGCAGCTAAAACAGATAACAGGCAATCACAGGAACCTCCTGAGATATTTTGTTTGCACCATGATAGATCTTACATCTCAAATTCACTATGTTATACAGTATATACGCAAGTATTAGTGACGCATGGATTTGCGCTTAGCAAGAGAAGAGCGGTCACAATTCACAGATTAAGTGCTTGCATAAGAGATCTGACCACACAGAGATGCAAACACTGTTTAGATTGCAGATGAAAGTACTGGAATACTAACTTAATCCATGCCAACACATCTTAGCCAGGAACAAAATAAAACAAAACTCGAAAACTTAACCCAGTGCTTGCTAAGAAGCCAATGTTTCAATGCCTAGATATGTTCCAAGACAAATAACTTAAATGCGCAATCATGCGGCAGCGAGTACTCATCATCACTAATGTTCCAAAGCCCTAAGTCTCTCAAAAAACCCAATACCAAATCTCTTCCAAAACTATAAACCTCCCTGTTTATACAATCACCTTCTACAAACCTTCTTCTTTCTTTAATTAACTCTTCTACACATCTCTGCTCATCATTTTGACAGATTACCCATGATCATTCATTCAGTTCACGGAATGACATGATTCTCAACTAAATCCATCACTTGTGTTTGGCCACAAACATCAAGGCAAGTAATATCAAAATAGAACTCCTATAGTCCAAAGGTACCATTTTTATTGGCAATCGAGCTTGGAAAACTCTAAAGCCCGAATTTTCAAATTATGTCATATTCTTAACCTTCACAACGAATGACAAACAAAAAATATATTTGTATATCAACAACTATTACTGCTCCTAGAAACTGAAAGAACAAAAACATGATTGTAGGGCAAAATCGGATTGAAAGATTGGGAAAATTACGCAAGGTAAGAAGAAAAAGATGATACCTTGAGACAAAGCAATCCGATGTTTTTGATTATTGCAATAGAGAGATAAAGCGCGTCTCAAACTAAGAAACCTAGAAGCCATTGACGAGACCTGGGTCTTCTCCAGCGACAAGTTGACAGAGATGGAGCTTCTTTTTTCGGTGAAATTAACCCAAAATTTGTGACAAAACCTAAACCCAGAAATCTCAATTTAGTTTGGGACGAACATTTTGCGCTTCGAACCATGGAGCCACAAGTAGACCGACCTTTTTCTCTTTTTTTTCCCTTTTTTTGCTAATTTTCCTTCTTTTTTTTTTTTACTTTTTGTTATTCTACTTTAAAAAAAATATCTTAAAAAATGCTTTTTGGGCACGCACAAATCGAGAAAAAAATATTGAAAATTAAAAACAAAAATAAAAACAAAATAGTTACCGGGTTGAAAGGTGAATGTTGATGGTTCCTTGTATTTCATGCGAAATATATGATTAAAAGACCATGCTTTTGAACAAAAAGTTGGTTGAATAAAGAGATTGGCTTTGGATTGACTTGAGCCAAACGGCCAAACCTATTTTAATCAAGTGTTCCAGAAATGCGCATGGAAGACAAAATTTGTTAAGCTCCTTTATACGATGAGCCACTTTATTTGACCTCTCAATGTGTCCTTTCTTCCATCACTCTCCAATCCAATTCACTATGCCAACAAAATTATTGAGAGTACCTTCCAAACTACGGCAACACAACAAAGTTTGATGGGAAACAATAATCATTTTTTTACTTGATTAATTTTGAGACTTAACATGTTTCATTTTCTTTTATTCACTTAGCTCTCAACAAAATCAAAAGAGTTACCAAAATTTGTACGCATTTTCTAAATATGATACTTGATAAAACATTAAACATCAATGTTTTTAAAGTAATTTTGATGTCTTCCACATATAGAATTATACTTGCACGTGTAAAGTTGATCATACGGAATTTAGCAAACTACGTAGGAAAATATAGCAATATTATTAAGTTAATAAGGGAGTAGACAGACATAGATATAATAGAAGTAGCATTTCAAAGTTGTCCCACAAGTCAGACTCAAAACCTCTCTTCACCAAAGCTAGAAATTAGATACTACACGTCACTTGGCTCCAACAATCTTACTTATATATTAAAGAGAAACTTCTCTTTATTATCGTCTCTTTGTGCTCCTTGAATCAAAGCTAAACGTGAGATTGGCTCCTGAAGGACCCGAGTGCCTTCACCGCACCAGCCCTCAACACAAACTGATGGTAGAAAGCCGCAATGGCTGCACCCGCAAACGGACCCACCCAAAATATCCACTGTTATAATAGAAAAAACGTTAAAAACAAAATCTTGTCTAAAGGTAATATCGAAGAAGAAAAAGTAAAATATTTTATAGTAATATACGAACATGATGGTCCCAAGCTTGGTCCTTGTTGTAGATGATTGCAGCTCCGAGACTTCTTGCAGGGTTAATGCCAGTGCCCGTGATTGGGATTGTAGCTAAGTGAACTATGAACACCGCAAATCCAATTGGTAATGGAGCCAATACCTTCAATTTAAACCATCAGTTTGGTCATGAAAACATAATATGGGAGAGAAAAAAATACATGTCACTATAAATCACGAGACGGATATAACAGTGTAGACCCCAAATATTATTGATATAGACATATAGTTATGTTTGGAGAAGTAGTATATGTACGTGGTTGCGAATAAGGAATTGGGACCACAAAAAAAGGACACATATGATGAAAAAGGTGTGAAAGACAAAATGTTTAGATGGTCGATGTCCTTTTTTGTCGTTTATTATAATCAAGAATCTACGAGCTAGATTCGAAAAATCAAGATAAAAGTTTGTGAAACAAAACAAATACTATAATGTAATAAGCTATTAGACGTGAACCAAATCATAAATCTGATTACCAGAATTACCGATTTAGATCAAACAAAACAAAACAAATCACGAATATCTCACATGCACACTCATGAAAAAATATGATATTTGCAGCCTCTACGTTTGCTCTTCGTCCACTTAATGCATATTTATTCTCCTCTAAGGCCGATAATGCTTTGTACGGCGTTGTTTAATGACAAATAGTACGCCGTATATGACACGGATATTCTACTGTTTCCATTAATTCGGTGAATTTCTAAATTATTTAAAACCATGACTAGTTTCTTTCTTTTTTTTTTGTTTAAAACTAATTACCGTTTCTTTCTTGTGACAATCCTCTTAACTAAATAAGTAAATAATTAAAAGGGAAAAATGAGCTTACGGGGACATGAGAATCACGCGCACTCCTCTTGGGGTCAGTGGCGGAGAAGACGGTGTAGACCAAAACAAATGTACCGACGATCTCGGCGGCAACACCGGTGCCTACGCTGTAACCGTCAGCTAGACCGTTTGCGCCGCCGCCGTAGCGGGTGTAGTAAGCAGACTGGAAGGACTTTACTAAAGCCACACCGCAAATGGCACCGAGGCATTGAGCCACCATGTACATCACTGCTCTCACCAGTGTCACTTTCCGAGCCAAGAACAGCCCAAATGTCACCGCCGGATTTATATGCCCACCTATACCATTATAATAAGTTGAAGCAAGATGTGAGCATAAAAACCAAACTAAACTAGACAAATGAATGATAACTTTGCTCATAAAACAAAACAAGAAAAATATTTCCTAATTAAGATATATTTGGGAAAATAGATTTTAGTATAACAAGAAGGAATTATAAAAAAAAAATTCATCCAAACCGAACTGATTTTTCTTTTCTTTCTAGATTTGGTATACATATCTTAAAACCGAAAAATAGGAAAAAGCTAAATCGAACCAAACTAAACCAAAACCGAACTTTTGTTCTGTTTGTCACACTTCTGATTTCATTTTCCCTATCAAGAATTCAAGATGGCAAAAAAATTCAGATAAAAAAATATGAGTTAATGTGAAGAAATTTGAGACAGCATATATAGGTTATGTTTTGGGATAAATTAAAGAGTGTGTGCTACATTAGGAGCAAAAATCCATTAAAAAAAAAAAGAAAGAGAAAGAGAGAAACCGACCCGAGATTCCGGCAGTGCAGTAGACAAGGATAAAGATCATGCCACCAAAGGCCCAAGCGATGCCGAGGATGCCAACACCTGCACACTGGTCAGGATTGAGGGTTGGATCGGTCTGGCTCTTGTAGCCAATAACAGTCATAACGGTAACATAAAGGAAGAGGAGAGTGGCTATGAACTCAGCGATGAGAGCTCTGTAAAAGGACCACTTCCCAAGCTCAGCTGCGTCGAATAGAGGCTCAGGCGGTGGGTCTTGGTAGTCTTTTCCAGAGAAAGATCTCTTCTCTCCAACCACTTCTTTCGTCATTTGTCTTCTTCTTCTTCACCAAACTTAAGAGTATGTCTCTGTAATCTTGAGTTATATTAAAAACAGAGAGAGATTGAGAGAGAATTGATGTGGTAAGATTGTTAGTAGGTGAAGGATATTTATGGACAGATGTGACGAGGCTTTGGGCTATGTTCTTTTTTTTTTTGGTTGTTGTTAAGTGCTAACTTGTTATGATTATTTTTAACTAGTTTTTTCAATGGTTTTGGAACGATGGCAACGGACGGATCTGATTAATTTTCTGTAGATTAGAATGTTTTATTTCATTTATATATAAATTTTGAATTTTTTTGGTGGAGCGGAAAAACATACATTTGGCTAATGTAGAAAAAAAATACTACACTAATCCACCAAATCTGTCATATCCGCTACAAAAACAATACAGTAGTCCGCAAAAACCAAAGGAAAAGAAAACTAGTCCAATTCGCGTTACTAGTTAATTTAGTATGGTATGGTATCATGTGGGTAACTTTATATCTAAACATACACTTTTATTTCAGGGTATATTACAGAAAGAGACACTCTCTTTTTATGGAAATAGACATTTTGTGACTATTCATAATCACCCAAACCCTAACACACCCAAACGAACAAATTATTTTTACTACAAAATTACAACTTAGGTACTTCTGTTTTTTTTTTTTTAATAAATATTTTCGCTATACCTTTTCATAATTTTTTTCCAGTAGCTACATATCGGCTCAATGGTTTACTAACTAGTCAGATCGAAAAAGATGACCTAAATAGAATACTTCCTCTGTTCAGAATTATTTGATGTTTTAGAAGGTTTTTTTGTTCAGAATTATTTGATGTTTTCACTTTTCAATGCAAAATTTAATGAATTTTTATAGTTTTTGACTTTTTATATTCTGCAGATTGTCTTCTTATTGGCTGAATGATATTTAAATGAATTATAAATAATATTTTTAGTATAGGAAAAATAAAAATTAAATGAATCCTTAAACTGTGTGTAAAAATCTTAAACATCAAATAATTATGAAGTAAAACCTAACAGCCGCTAATGATTTTTTTCCAACGAAATGTGTGAATTAAATGTACAAGATTTGTAACAAAAAAGACCACTCATGTTTAATATTTAGAGTAAAATTCATAAATACATACACTCATTTTATTTGTTTTAGACCTTATAATTTTCTACAAAATAGCGATTTGATATTTTGATGAACAATGTTAAAACCAAAATCTAATGGATGTTTAACGGGATTCTTAATTAGTGGGGTGGTTGAACTTCATGAAGCTACTCATTTATCAAAATCATGGTTCGAAGCCGACATTTTTACAATGAGGGGGAAAAATGTTGTAAGAAAAAGACGTTAGCCAAAGACTAAAGTCATCTAAAGACGTTATCATTGCCCATTTTGAATCAATTAAGATTCAGAGTTCTTGAAAAAATAGGATTGCATACGGATTTTGTTTGAAACGATACTATAATTATTCTGACATTATTATACAATTGGCATGAATTTTTGTTGTTATTTCTCTTAATCAGTGGCGGATCTAGAAAAAAATTAAATTGGAAACATAAATTTATAAACAAAACAAATAGTTAGGGACAAACTTTTTTTACCACTAAATTAAATATATTTAATTGAATTTATTTAAACATTTTAAAAAAATAAAAAAAGTAAGGAACACTTGACTCCGCTACTCATATACTACCTCCCTCCGCCCCTGCTCTTAATTATATTTGCAGTTAATGTATTTTTTCCAAAACACTAATTGAAAGAATAACCTACCGAAAGTGTTTAGGCACTGGGCAGGGACCAAATTTATAGGTAAAATAATTTGTGATGAGACATAAGTTTGAGATAACAAACTCATAATAGATCAATTTGTACAGCCGGCAAACTATATATGAATCAAGAAATATGAGAGGCCACAAAAAATTACTATTAATGACCACTTTAGAGTTATCAAATTACAAATATAAGTTATTTATTGACAGTTGCGCAACAAAGGTAAATAGTACCAAACTCTAAATAATACTGAAGCCTCCAATTAGCTGTCTCCAAAAAAAAAAAGTTGTGTGCTCTCTATAAATAGGTGGACCATATATTTGCGAGCTTCATGCCGACTTTTAAGTTGATATATAAAGATAAAAAAGAGCTTCTAGAATCTTGAAATTTTTGTGCTAACTCTTTTTTCTTCTTAACACCATTTAGGTGCTTATTCAAATTACTTTGCCCTCTAATTTCCATTTCTATCTTGATCACAATTAAGATAGAAAGAAAAATATATTAGGCCTCACATAACATCAAATACTCGATAACTCGTCTTATTGATAGGGATCAAATTTTATGTACTGTATTTTTATGTTGATCATCTTTGTAGAGATAGCATAAGCTTCAGTTAGAGACTTGTGCGATTATATAAAAAATTTGATATGAAAAAAATGGTGGTTAATAACAAAGAAATGTACATGTTCAAACTAGACAGGACGGCGCAGTGGGGGTAAGGTGGGTTGTTCTCATTCACCGACCCAACTTGACTTTGCAGCTTTGCCATGTTTTTTTTGTTGTTCGTTCTAAAGTTTGTGTTTTATTTGTCTTCCTGCCAACAAATTTCTAGGTTTAAGGTGTCATGTTAGTCATTTTCTTTTTCCTATATCAATCTTTGAGCTACTATAGCTTTGACTTTCTTAATAGTGATCTTCTGTAGTTTTGCCGTCCACTTGCGAATAGGCTCGTGAGCACCACAACTAATAACTTAGTTCTTTTGTTTATTTATTTTGGCCTGTTTTAACCAATATTTGATCCTAAACTATCAGTGTGGTAGTCTAAATTATAATCTTTTACTAGATAGTATATTTGAAAGGATTCTCGTGAATGCCAAGTTGCCCACTATATCACACTTTTTGATCATGTAAGAAAAAAATACAATTCTTTCAAACAACTCTCTCTCCCTTTATTGTAATATAGACTACTCAAATAACCTGTTCGTAAAAGAAACTCTCCCTCTCAGAATCTCATTTGTAGCCATAGCGTTGAATCCAAAAAAAAAATTGTCAGTCACCTTTTTCTATTGGCGGGGCCCTACCTAGAGAACCATATTGCACATCAACTGATCTTCATGGAGAGGAGCGAACTCCCATAAACAAGGGAAAACATTAAGTGGGCCGATACTGGGTTTAGTAGTAATACCTAACCCATTTGAAAACAACCAAGAGAAAAGTTTTAGGTCCATGAAAACACACGAAATCGTGTTGAAATCTGTTGCAAAGTTCTCGAGGAACCTGAGTTGGATGGTGTTGATCGAACTGAATAAAAATCTTAACCAAAAACCTCAGTTCCATTTTTATTTTCAAAATTTCTTATTTCGACATGCCACAAACTATTTAGATTCAATGCCACATTTTACCAATAAACGTTGTGACTTAAACATGCAACATTCACCGAGAATCAAAATATGCTTAAATCAAAACACGAATAACATCTTTCAAATACTCGCAAACCATTGTTTTCATAAAACCAAAATAGATAAACTAACTTGCCGATTCGGTAATTAAAATCAAATAATTTAAACTCAAAAGATAATATAAAGTAAGCGGTTGATAACAGATAAGATATATGTCTACTATAAGTCTTTAAACATACATGTAATGTGTTAGGCCAAGATCCAACTCGGCCATTGAACATACCCAGTAAAAGACCCTCAGAGAAAACAACGAATAAAAATTAAAAGAAAGAAAATGAAAATAATTAAAAGACAAAGGAAAAAATAATGTTTGGTAAAATCATTAAAATTGTGAATGAAGGAAGATATGTTGTCCAATCGAGTTGGTTATTTGTGCATCGGCGAATACAAAAGTATTCATTATTTTGTCCACTACTTATCAGACGAGTCTACTTAAGTCCTCTATATGGTTTGGAATAACAAAATATGAGGACAAATCCAAAATTCATTTTCTCATTGTTGTGTTAATGCTCAGCAAATTAGTTATTCTGAAAAGATATTTTCAATAGTTATGAAAGGTGGGTAGATTAAGAAACACTCCAACTAATTAAACTGGCATCATAGATGGATGAATTTACATAAAATTAAGAAAGAATTAAAAATATAGGACAAAAAAACACTACTATTGTCCCCTTAATACTTATATAAAATAATGTCCCCCTAAAACTTCTACAAATATTTTAACATCTTCTACCTTTTTAATTCAAATTTAATAATAAAAATTAAATTCTTAAAAAGTAAAAAAAAAAAAATTACTCTTACATTTTTTGTTGTAGAAGCCGCCTCCTATCACCATCATCTCCTTCATCGTGAAAAAAAAAGTTCAGGGAAACAAATCTTCTTTTCTGTTTGCCGGAACTTCTTCTCTATCTCCGGTAAGTTCCGGCGAACCGCCATCCTCCTCTTCTCTTGTCTGCTTCCTCCTTATTTGCAATTTCGTTTCAATAGATTGTGATGTTAGGGTTTGTTTAATCCCAAATCGATTTGGGTTTTCTGTGTGTAGGGATAGTGATTTTCGGGCTTAGGGAACTCCATCGCTGCTGTCTCATCTGATAATCTGAAGGTAATGTGTTCATTGACAGTGTTCTATTGCTCATAAATTGCAGAATCTAATTTTCAAAATTGTATAAAATTGGTTTTCTTCTTCTCTTTGTTAGCTTCCCATGATTTGTTGTGAATCAATTTCGACTTTTACATGAGAGATGTTGTAGTTGTGGAATCCTTGAACTGAATACTTTTTATTTTCTCTGCTGCATGCAATAGCTTCTAAGGCGAGTGCTGTGTGGACAGATTGTCAATCTCTCTCTCGCTGGAATATTTTTTTAAACCTCTTTTCAGGTACTTGTTCCTTCTTTTTGTGAATATATCTTTGATGGTGCTCTGCTTCTCTAAACCGTGTACTCTTTGAGAAAGTTTTTCTATGCTTTCGTTGATATGTTTGGTTTAGGTGATTTCTCTCTTCTTTCAAAGGCTCTTTATTTGCATTTGATTTCTGATTAATTTGAGGAGTCATGTGTTGGGTTGCTCGAGCTTCGTTGAGTCTTGGGTTTCTCAAATAAGACTTTCTCTTAACTTATGTGTTCAATTACGGTTATAATCCAAGTCAAAGATGTGTTCTTTTGTTGTTTTGGGTAGTGAAAATTTAGTGAGAAAGGAGTAATGAAATGCCAGTTTTTGCTTATCTTTTGGCAATTTGGGATCGAAATTCTGCAAGCGAGTGTTTTGTTTTCTCTGTTTGGGATTTGGTAGGAAGTTGGGTTTTGGAGAAAATTCTGAATCTAGTCTTGATTTTGTGATTTATGGTTCTCAGTTTGGGATTTGGTAGGAAGTTGGGTTTTCTAGATGCTTGTTGATTCTAAACTATAACATAGGTTATATAATTTACGATCAAAACAACTAAAAAGGAACTTTTTGTATCTTTCTTCTATATAATTTACTACACGGTTCTTTCTTTCTTTCTTTCTTTCTTCACCGGTCTTCCACAACTTGTAATGTCATTTTTGTCTCAGGAAACTGTCTCTGAAGATACTCAGGTTTTTTCTTTTCTCTTCTACTCCGTTTTGTACTTATGTATCAGCGTTATGTAAACTACACTATATAACCTTGGAATAATATACTTACTATGTTGACTGCTAGTTAGTTTCTATGATCACAAAGGGAAGTTATGTATGGAACCAGAAACTAAGTTGAAGTAATGGTTTGACGGGCATAATTATGAAAAAATTAAAGGAATCATGTTTTTTTCTTTTTCATATGACCAACATGTGAACACATGATTGTTTGGATAAATGGATCTTTCTTACAAACCAAAATCGAATAGAAGGTGAAGCAGCCTATTATTTAAGAATCACTCATAAACGTGTAGTTACATAGTTTTTTTTTTTTACAGTTACATAGTTTTTTTGGATAATATTCTTCTTTCAAGTGCAGTTACATAGTTTTTTTTTTTTGTTTCCTTGTCCATGGAATTTCGTGGTTTGGGTTTGTCTGTCACTGATCTCTGATTGTATAGAGATCGATCACTTTGCCTTTCATTCTGTGAAATAATCTTTTCTGTTTAGGAAACTGATTTTCGTGTTTGTGCAACCTGTCTTATCTCTTTTATATTCTCTGTTCTGACTCTTCTTTGATCTTTTACATTACCTTTTTTTATCATTGTCTTTGATTGCTACTCATTAATCTCGTTTATGTGATGTACTCATTAATCTCGTTCAGTTGAATGTGAAGCCCTATGGGATCCAATATGCTCAGGTGAAACAGGGAAGTAATAAAACTCAATGTGATTATGGAGTGTATGCTTTGAAATACATTGAGTGTCACGCACGCGGGCAGGACTTGTCTTTGATGCATGATGACAACATTAACACTGCTCGTATGAAGATAGCATGTGATCTTTTTGATGCTGCAAACGATCCTGTCTTCATTGACCGAATGTCTAGGTATGAAACTACTTGCTTGATTTGTTTTTTTGTTTTTGTTTAACCTCTTTGTGGAATTCCTAAGTATAACAGTTGTTTCGCTTCTTATATGACCTAGGTATGAACCTATCAGCTGGGAAACGGAGGAGATTGACCTTGATCCAGATCTCTGAGAAACTACTTCGTATTATTTATTTATTTTTCGTTAACTTATTTTATGATGTACGACATTTTTATATAACTTTTTACATGTTTTCTGCTATATCTATGACATTAGTTTGATAAATGAGGAACGTTAATGGAATTGAAAATGCAGCAAAATAGAAAATCAACATTTTTAACTCCTTAACTAGGTAGATAACTGATTTGAACATGCTGATCGACGATACCATAGTCCTCGTGCACCATCATTTTTAACTCCTCAAAACTTGTACTTGATTCCAGAGTTATCAATCTTCCTCCTTTCTCTTCATCGACATTAAAATCCCACTCTCTCTTCAAACCAAAAGTCCATAATCCACATGTTACGTAGGTTTGTAACATATTTTAAGGTAGTTGGTACGAAAAAAGAAGGAGAAAACGTAAAAGTTATGAAGAAAACGTGAAAGTTTGTAGGTTGAAGGAGGAGAAAAAACGTTAAATTGAGGAGGAGAAGAAAAAAATGGCGACAGAATTCTCTAAATTGAAAAAAAAATATTTAAAAAATTAATTAGGAAATTAAATATTATGAAAAGGAAAGTAATATATTCTCTAGATCTGCTCCTAGATTTTCGGAAATTCATTTAACTGAATTGTAGAATATGTATTCTATAATTGTAGAATAAAGGGTGTCCGTAGAAATGAGATTCTACTAAGTTTGTAGAACAAAGAGTTTCCGTAGAAACCTAATTCTACTAAGATGTAGAACAAAGAGTGAACTATAGAAATATAATTCTACTAAATTGTAGAACAATGATAAATTTATAGAATACGGTTTCACAGCTTTGTAGAACATAGAAGAAATGTAGAAAACTAATTCTATATTTTTAGTAGAAAACTAATGAAATAGTAGAAAGCCTATTCTATAATTTATAGATTTATAGAATGCACTTTCTACTAATTCGAAAAATATTTGTAAAACACATGTTTAAATTTTTTTAAAAAATATATTATATTTCAGAAAGTATTCGCAATTTCCCTTTTGATTTTTCCAAAATTTTTTAGACTGCAAAACTATTTTTTTTTAATTTTCGAAATCTTATAAACAGGTATTTATGTCCAAAAGTGGCCAAATTTAAAAAAAGTCTTAAGGAGACAATAGTACAGATTTTTTGTCCTATAAATATAATTGCCCCTAAAATTAAGCTAGTCTGTGAATTCATTGACGTTCTAAAATGATATTGGTTGTTAGTTGTTACTCTATCTCTCATCTCCATTTAATTTACGTTATTGCGTATGTCATATCTAGCACTGATTTAAACGCAACACTAACTTAACTTAACCTTAAAACCTTTAAGAATAAAGGAAAAAAACAAACAAAACCATAATCTATTCTGTTACTCTATATATAATAAACATGTATTTTAGCTTGTTGGCAAGAAAAAACCCCATGTATTAGCTTTGTATAATCAATTGTAGTTTCAGGGTGAAGAAACCATCTAATAATTAACAATTTATAACATTGGATTTGAACAAAAACAAAAAATAAAACTTTAGCTAAAAAAAATCAACTACAAAAAGAATCCTCACGATAAAAATACAAAGAATTGAAAGAAGAAAAGAAGGAGAGGAAGATTTAATGTAAAACTCAACACCTAACTTTTCTCTAATGTTCTTCAAAATCTTCTGCTCTTCCCCAACTTACTTTTCCTATGTTTCAAGAGTTTTGCCCATTCACACTACAAATACAAAATACAAATCACAATCAATTCTCATCTAACTTTTGAATCCTCCACCAAATTGATTGCTCCTCTTCATTCATCTCTTCTAAAGCTAACACTTTTTTTTCTGCTCACTGACTCTTTCCTACTCCTCACAACTCTAATCACTTCAACACTTGAAAACTGAATCTCATTGGTTTTAGTCTACACCAATGTAGGCATTGTTCGGAATCAGATCATTCTCTTCGTTTGTGTAGCTTCCATCGCTGCATCTCTTGTTTCTCATTTCAGCCACCTTCTTGTGGGAGTTTGAGTGAAGAGCTGGAGTGAATGTTGGGCTAGCAGCTGGACGGTACTCAGGGAAAAGCCTTCCCGATTTGTAACGTACGCCGCAAGCATTGCAAAGCGTCTTTGGGCCCATAGGCCCAAGCCTCCACTGTGGGGTCTTTGTAACCTCACAATGCATACATTTCCTAACAAGATTCTGCTCCGAAGAATACGAAATATCAACGTTGCTGTTTCCATTCACTTCAAGATCAATCCCGGAGGAAGAAGAGGAAGAAGTAACCTTGGTCTTCTTCTTCTTCTTCTTGGTGATCATCTTGCTGTGGTCAGAGAGAAACTGCTTTGGTATTCTAATGATGAGGCGTGAATCCGCACCGCAAACATTATTGTCTCTGATGACTCTGTCTTTCTCGTGGACCGGTGGACGAGAGCGTTTTGTGCGTGGACGGCCATGTTTTCCGGGGAGAACAAGGGAGGTTGTGTTGGTGGTTTGGGACGATGATGAGCTGCTTTCGAGAACCGACACTGGACTTGAGCTCCTGAATTGGCTATTATGAGAAGACGATGAATCCGTGTTTGTTGAAAACGAATCTTCCTTCTTCTCAACCAATGATGATTCCTCTACAAAGCTTGGTGGCCTCTCCACCTTAACAATATCTTCAAACTGTAAATTTCACACAAACAAAAGTTTAAACATTGTTAGACAAATTATGTACAATTAAGCGCAAGAACTGTGATTGGTAAAATCATGTGTATTCAGGTAACACAGGCAAAAACAGAACAAGGACATACACTATATGCTAGACAAATAATAGCGGGAAAAAGGTAAAAAAAAAATAAAAATATACAAAACAAAATATAAAGGAAAAAGGCGTAAGTTAGTGCAAGAAACTGACCGGAACATAGAGCTCAGTAGAAGAGTCAGAGTTGGTGTTGGAAGAGAAGAGAGGATCAGAAGCGGTGGGCCACGTGTCGTGATGAGTGGTCCAGATGTTAGGGAAAGAGTCGGAGTCACCGATGTCGAAACCGACATCAATATCACCACCGGGAAAATCAATCAGATCGTCCATGTTGTCAAAGAAGTTGCCACAATCAAGATCCTCCGGGAAGCTTTGTCCAATCATCTTCTTTTCACAAATTTTTTTGTAATTAGCTGGAGAGAAACCACAAAAAATAATAATAACAATAATGAGAAATGAGAGATGGGTGTAATGAAATCTTGATATATAGAGGAAAATGAGAAGTGTTTGAACAGAAGAAGTTTCTCAAAAGTTTTTCAAAATTTGAACCAAGTTTTGGAACCACCTTAAAAAATCAAATTTTGAAAATGAACATGCTTTGGCCCACCTTTCTTGATTTTTTTTTTTTTTTTTTTGAGTTAACAGAAAAAATGAGGACCATTCTAATCAAAAATTCAATTGCAGTAGACCAGTGGCTCTAAAAGTCAAAAAGTCACCGTTAATTAAGCATTCTTGATTATCTATCTATCTTTCTAGAATTCTTGTGTGAAACACACAATAAAAAGAAACAACTTTTCAAATTTCTCAGTAACCAAAACAGAGTGCTAAGGAAAGCCAAATCAGAAAAATTTCATCCACCGACACCTCATTTACTCTGCAAAACCCCAATTGTGAACCACCAAAGATTCCTAAATTCCAATTCAAAGCCAAGAATTCCCAAGAAAAGCAAAAGCAAAATCAAGAATGGGAGTGAAAACAGAGCCAGAGAGGGGAATTCGAACCTCTGTTCGTAGTGCTGTGCAGATCGTATGAGAGAGAGAGAGGAGAGAATCAAATTTGAGAATATAGGAAGGAGAGAGAGAGAGAGAGAGAGAGAGAGAAAGAGATTGCTTAGAAAGGAAAAAAGGAGTAAGGAGTGGGGAGAAGTGAAGAGTGATTGATTGGGAAAATGGGTGAGTAATGGAGAGCAATAGCTTCTCTTATTATTATAAAGAGTTAGGTGTGAGAAACACTTCTCCTCTCTCTCTCTTCTTCTCTTATGCTCTGCTAGCTGTATTTTACCATTCCTTACCCTGTCTTCATGTGGAAGTCTCTTTCCTTCTCTCTCTCTAAATATTTCTCAAAACATTTAAGAAATATAAAAATATCATAATCTCACCTTCCTCATGTGGGTTCCATTTCTCATTGAGACTTTACCAAAGATGATTTATTCACAAACCTTGCTTAGCTGTTCAAAAGTTGTTTTTGTTTTGAAAAGCAATGGGTTTAAGTAAAAACTTATTAAACAAAAAATGGTTTAAATCAAACTTACACCTTCTCGTCAATATTTTTATGTTCTCAACCAAAATTATTGAGACGCAAGATAATATACCTGCTATTTACAGGTTCGAAATTGTCATCAAAAAATAAATAAATAAATTGTCATTTAAGTAAAGGTTGACGTAATTAGAAGATACATGAAGTGAATATATAGATTTTTTATTTTTTAGATGAAAAAAAAAGTTATGAAATTATAACGCGCATAATTCCAGTCATGGTTTTGCTATACATAAGAAAAGTCAATGAGATAATGGGAAGGTGAAATGGCACGAATGAATTATACGACCTTAACGCGTACATGTAATTCCAAATTTATTTTATATTAGAAATTTTTTATCTGTTTATTATTTTCTTCCCATTGTTTATGCCACAAACTACGTGTTGCAAAGTAAAAGTAGAGACTTTTTCTACATACGTATTACATTTTTCTTAACGGGGTCAAAATACATAAAACTAGTCTATTTCTTATAGGCTTTAGGAAACCTTGCTCAGCTTTAATTCTTTCTTTTGTTTACCACAAAAACAAATATCTATGATTTTTATCAAAGTGTCTAGTAGATCATCAGGATTACAGTAAAATATTTTCCTAAAATATACGTTGCATTCCTTTTCTTTGACATCTAATTAATTACTTCATCGCGTTATAATATTTACAATCCATCAACAAGATTTCTTTCTGAATTTAAAACCAAAAAATATATATATTCATGAGTTTGCCTTCGATATTTTTTGTTTTGTTTTTTGTTTATGTCGCAAAGATATAGTATATCTTTATATCTGGATCCCTCAAATGTTTCCTAATTTAATTAACTTAATAACTAATTAAAGCATATCAATTGAAAATTTAGAAAATTTAATCATTTTTCTTGTTAAGATATCTTGAAAATCAATCAACTGATGATAAAAAGGCATTTCATTAATCATTTTCATCTGGTAGATATCATCATAAGAATTTGTTTCTAAGTTTCTAGTCTTACTGAACAATGATGATAACAGATTATATAAATAAACGGATAAAATTAGTAGGTTAGCCACAAAAAAAACTTAATAATACACTGTGGAGAACACTGTACGCAGTCACCATATATCGAAGACACAATGAATTCAAAGCCAAGAACTCCACATTATTAGACATATATTTCCAATGAGATTTTCTTTGAGATTATCTTCTATATCACCAAGCTAACTTAAACCATACTCTTAGTTTCCTTACTTCAAGCACACTCTTCCCTAAAGAAGTTTTTTTTTGTTTCGGAAAAAATGTTTAATAAAACAACATGATCTACCAATTTAACTTAATGCTGATTTTCTAAGGCTCTACTTTTCCACTTTCTTTCTTTTTATTTTTTCCATCTTTTTCATTTTTTTTTTGCAGTAACTAACTTGGACATCACTCCATAGACGATCACTTTCTTCTAAAAGACTTCTCTCCATTACTCTCCAAATGACAAAAGCTATATGAAAGTGTTGATCTTTATATGTATATATATATATATGTAATTATAATCATATAAAGACATGTACGATTATATAAAATATATATATATATATATACATCGCATCTCGTCAATGGTTGTGGGTTGAGATCACTTAATGCATTATATGAAAATACTACGCTTTTATTTCTTTGAATTTGTTAACGTATATTGCTATCAAAATATTTGAACCTCAGCCTATGGTTGGGACCAAAATGTTCGTATAACTTCCGGCATAAAAAGAAAAGGCCTTCTCTTATGTATCAATCGATTATTAATCTTAAATTGATTAAGACATCTCAACAAATATTGATTAAAACGAGTAGAATTGTTAACAAAAACGCTAGCCTCTCAAACCAAATAAGTTGTAGTTCCAATAAAATAACTCTAACGCATGCATCATATCAGGTAAACGGTTTACGAAACGCCATATATGAGTGTGGTAAGACTTTTGCATGAATCCGGAATATCTATATATATATCATATAAAAATAGAAATATTTCTAATCCAAATTTATTAAAAATACAGAATCTTAACTTGATACTAGCATATAATTAATTACACACTTTGTATCAGAAAAGGCTAAACTCCTCAAAAGATTTCTTTCTATGATCTCAATAAGTACATGACTAAATAAAGTTACACATAGATGTGTCCATATCAAACACACACATGACACATACAGTATATTATTTATAAAAAAAATTGCAGCTTCCATCACAAGAGTAATACAAATCCGTGACACATGATCTAACATAAGAATTTATAGTAAAAAAACAGCGGGATAAGAAATGTTGGAGGAGTAGGGGATAGTAATTAAACATTTTTTGTACGGTTGACCGTAGACGATAACGTATAATATACGAAATAAGTGAAACCGTATACGTATCTAGTCGGTGGAGGAGGAATAGCATGTGCACACAGAGAACAGGTGAAGGCGCGGGTGACTTGCGAGCACGTAAGAGCCCATGTTTTCGTTAGGACCCACTTTTTGTCTAAAATACGTGAGAAGATACGATTGGGATTGTCCCCACGCTCATTATAAATACATTTTTGTTTAATTAGTCGTGTATTTTATATTAAGGGAAGAAGATTAGAAGCGCCAATTTGAAAGAGAAAAAACAAATTATAGAATCATTGAGCAAATCACGTGGTTTTGCCTCGGGATCGGTTCTCTCTTCCCTGAAATATATGAATATTTCTTAACTCAAAACGAATAGGCATAAGACACGTGGCCAACAATCTCCACGTTAGATCATGTGACGGTGTGGGTCCTAGTAGTGTGCGAAACTCTTACTAACTAGTAGCTAGCTCTACGGGGAAAGGACTCACTCAAGCGTACGAATCTCTCTTCTTCTTCAAACTCTCAACAAGGTCCTAGGATCAACGGATCAATTCAATTATTCAACTATACTCTATAATCACCCCACATGCACTGCCTTTTTTTCTTTGGAATACACAATTTCTTTATCCGGTTTTTGCATTATTATATTTTTAAACTGATGTGATTTGGACAATTCATGAACCTCTGAAATTTTTTGTTATAAAGCAGTTTGTCAGCAATTCTTCACATGCTATTTGAACTAAAGACACCAAAAGTATTTATATTTTTATATGAAAAAAAAAATGTAGTTAGTTGGGCTAGCTAGCGACCTTCTCTACTTGGGTTTTATACTAGCATCAAAAAAGATAAGAGTTTGCCAAAAAACGAGTATTTAAGTTTGTGAAAATCATACTCGATAAAAATATGGATTTGGATACGTACGAGCGGATTCACCGTTATATGTGGTTTCAGTTTTTTTTTTTTTTTTTTTTTTTGTCGACATATGTGGGTTTCAGTTGTAAAATTCAGTAAATTGTATAAATATTATCTTCTTTTATGGTGACAATGCAAATACTAAAACATGAATGAACATGTCACTAGGAACAGTCTAAAAAGCACACAGTCAACTATCATTGATGCATGTTCACCATTCCCTTGTAAACGGATTTAGTTTTAGAAACCGACTTCGAAAAAACTTTATGGATAATGCAAAACAGTGCGGATAATGCAAGACTCATGATAGAAATGTGGTTAATAAAGGGATGAAATCCTCCCCGAGACTTAAATCACACTGTCCAC